AAAGAATGCTGATGCAAGAAAAAAATGTCCTCCTTTTAGACATAAAGATACCCTTTGGTTTCCATTTACTGCTGCAGGCTCTACCTATCTATGGATAGTGAAAAGACACAACCAAAGCCACAGTAGTTAAACAACGTAGATCTTCAGAAATGGAAGATGCCGACTCCGTCATCTTTGTCCACCACAGGACTACAAATACATTATCAGTTTCAGATCTACTGACTAGAATCTACATAAGTTTTCTGTTTGTTTTTGCTGTAGTACTGTGGATTAAACCCTGGCATTACACATGTCAGGAAGCATATTATTACTCAACTACAGCTTTTTATTTTTTTTAAATTTCAGAGATGGAGTTTCATTCAGATGCAACCTGGGAGCCTCCTGCCTCAGCCTCTCAGGTTGCTGGGATTAAAGGTATCAGAAGTCTTGAAAAAAAAATTGTGAAGGATATAGGTGTTCTTGAACAGAATGATTTTTTTTCTGAAAAATAGTCTTAGTGAGAGTTGGGAAGATCTCTTAATGAGATCAACCTGATATAGTATTGGGAACAGAAGCTCTGCACAGCATGGTGCCTGTCAGATTCATCACTGCAAGCTTTGAAAAGGCTTAATGTTCAATTGACATTAGCTGAATGCTTTTTATATTGAATGAATCCATATAGACTTCAACTAATAAGTCTCATATATTACTTTTTATTTTAAAGCCAAAAATATTTTGCAAAAGTAAAAAGGCCTCTAATAAATTCCTCAGGTATGTTAACAGTGTGATTCTTACATGAGATCCCAAGGCCAAACTAGAGAGATGACAAAAATATTGGGAAGAGGTAAATTAGAATAAAAGAAGATTACTATGTAGAGATGGTGTTTTCTGTGATACAATTAGGGAAAATAATCAAGTTGGTGTCAGAAATGGGAGAGATAATAGTGTTAGTATTTTGGGTCTCATTAGGGAAGAGACCTCAGGAACAGTGGAGCAGGGGAGAGGAGTCATTGGGGATGAGAACATCAAAATGTAGAGCACTGGGTCTGATTGAAGGTCACAAAATTAGAGTTGAAAATAGGTACAAGGTTAGTAGGGGTAGGGTTCTCATGGGTAGCAGAATGAGCCTCAGTCACTGAGGTGAGGAGCAGAGAAAAAGAAATTGGGGGTCACCACATGAGCAGATTTCAGATGTTCCAGTCATTAAGGCAAAGGTGCCAAGTAGCGTGGTAAAGGAATCACAAGGCCAAAAGAGATGGAGCAAGGATGGTAATGGACCTAGGAGAGTATGGAAATTCATGACAGGATGTAAGTTATTCACTTTTATGTGGACTCTAAGAATTAGAACTCATAGCAGTAGAGAGTAGAATGCAGGTTACCAGAGACTGAGGACAGGGTGGGGGATAAGGGGAAAGTCTGGTCAAAAAGGGAAAAGTTTCAGTTAAAGAAGAGGAAAAATTCTGGTGATCTATAAAACAAGGTGACTAGTAATTATGCTAATTATTACCATTATTATTATTGCTATCTTACTGAAATGTGGTTGTGTTTATAGTCTGCTCACTTGTAAGAAGCAAGTCCAAGCTTTCTATTTTAATCCAAGTATGAGTTTCATAAGTGTTTGTAGTGCTCTTTTCTCAGTCTGTGTTTTATTTTCTCTAAATGTAATCTTAAAATAAAGTAGAATTAAAATAATCATGCTTAATGAATTATACAATACAAAATTGCAAACAGTGAATTTTAACTGTCATAACCCCCC